ATTCAGCTCTATGCTATTTTAAGAGTTCAATTATGTCCGTTTCAGGCAAATTGAAAGCCAATGGAAAATTACAAAAGGATTTCCCTCCCCCCTACCCAAGAACAGACACCATCCTTTAAGAACCACAGTATTTTTATTTGTTTTTCCAAAATCTGAAATCAGCAGAACCATTGTCTAAGGCTTCTTTCGCCGTGCATTGTAAATGAAGGCACGACAGACTTAGGGGCTATTTTACGGCTAGCAGTTGGCACTAGTTAATCCCAACCTTCGTGGGCAGTGATCTAGAATAAGGGCAACTGGCTTTTTTACATGACGGGATACTTTAAGGAGACTTTAGAAAAAAGTGGGAAAGATGTCAAGATGAGTCTATTATGGCTGTAGAGGTAAAGGGGGATAAGTAAGGGGGAAAACGAACCCTTATGAAAGCCCCGTTTCTCCTTTGTCTATCTGCTCTGCCATTTTACAAACTCCCAGTGTGATTTTAAAATGTACTTAGATATGTAATTGCCTTTTTGTTTTTTTTTTTTTTGGCTAGGCAATGGGGTTAAGTGATTTGCCCAGGGTCACACAGCTAAGTATTGTGTGTCTGAGGTCACATTTGAACTCAGGTCCTCCTGAATCAAGGGCCAGTGCTCTATCCACTGCACCACTTAGCTGATCCTAGATATGTAATTGTCTAGGCCAGGCTATAACCTATGAGGCCTAACTCCAAGTACTGCAAACAAATTTATCCAAATACCACCATGCTGCCCAGTTGACTCTTCAAAGCCAAAAAATGAGGCAAAGATCACATAAGAATCCAATCCAATCAATCTAATTAATAATTATTAAACTGGAGAAATGGAAAGAGATAGAAGGTCACTTGAATATTCACAGTATCCCTGGCATGGGCAGCACAGGCAAAAAACCATGTTACTTACTTCTGTCATATACCTCTCTCCAAGACCCAACACTGTGTTAGGCACATAACTGGCACACAAACATAACAGTAACTCACATTTATAAAACATGTTTCTCTTAACTCTGAGGTAGGTCATGCCAACATTATCATCTCTATATCACAGATGAGGAAACTGAGGCACAGATTTGTTTAGTGATGTGAAGCAGTATAGTAATGTGGAAAAAACTGTATTTGGAGTCAGGGGATCTAGGTTTGAAAGGCTTTTGCCACTTTCTACCTGTATGACCTAGGACATGTGACTTCACGTCTCTGAGACACAACTTCCTCATCTGTGAATTGAGATGGTTGGTTCTGATGCCCTTTAGGTTTCCTTCCCAATGCTCAAATAATGTCACATGTCTAGAAGGGGGTCAGAGCCACCACCAGGTTAAGAGGGTTCTTCCCATCCACTGACTCATCTATTTCTCATGATTACCCCATGAGTCAGTGCAACCATTTAGGTCCCATTTTAAGTGATAAGGAGACTGAGGCTCAGTCTTTAAAGGGCTGTATCTGCAGCCAAGTCCTCTCACTCCAAAGTCAGTGTTCTTTCCACCACACCAAACCTCTTGTAAGTCGACTGACTGGCATTTGGCTGTCGGAGTGAGACTGGGCCCTTGGAACACTGTCAGAATGCTTGACCGGGAGCCAGAAAATCTGTACTGGTACCACATCAACCGTGCATGGGCTCTTACTTCAGCTGCTCATCGAAAATTTAAGTGGAATTAGGGAGGTATGCAGGGCTTTTGTGTCACCCTACAGATGGGTCTTTTTTTTTTAAGGGATTACCTTCTGTTTCCTCTCTACAGGAGTTGGAGGAAGCTATCACCTGCCTAGGCACCCAGCCCAAAGCTGACATCACAGATAACTCAGTCAGTAGGGCCCAGAAAACAGTGGGGACATTTGAGATTCAAAGCCTGGCCCCTAAAGGCCAAAAATGCCTTTAAGAGGCTGGCAGTCTTTGTATTCTAAGCAGGGATGACTGGAGCTGTTTACAGATGGAAAAAAAGGAAGTAAAAACAAACAGCAAAGTGCTAACAGCCAGCTGCTTTAGGGCTACCAAAAGGATCCCAGGCTCTGACTCACGCAAGGGACCTTCAGCAGAATTGCCCGATCACCTTCTCATCAGGCTTGGACAGACCAATGGGAAAGGTGCTGGTCAGGGACAGGGAAGACAGGAGAGAGGGAGAACAAAGTGGGCTTAAGGGGCAGCCATTTGATCCTGGCCTGGATCTGAGCTTTTCTGGTAAACTGAAACTCCCTTCAGGCTCCTCCACATCAACAGGAGAGAGGCACCCACTGTTTCCTAAGGGAGACTGATACCAACTTATCTTTCAGATGAGGCACAGTAAGAGCATTCACAAAAACCACAGAGGTGGAGGTGGAGAAAAACTGGAAAGGTTTCACTCGGAGAAATTCAATCGGAGGCTAGAAACCTACCTAGCACACTGATGCAAGTACAGGTGAAACTAATAGCCTTCTCCCCACTGAGGAGTAAATACAGGCAGAGGGCTCTACTTAGATGAGGAACCCCATGGGTACCGCTTGAAGAACATTTTACTCCTCTAGAAAGAGTCAATTTACATACTCTTCAGAAATGAAGCAAGTGCTAAAATAATGGACAAAGAGAAAGTTTCCTGGGTTGGAGGGAAGCATCCAATCAGAAAAAAAAATTGTGAGACAACACACATTTTGTAACTTGAGTTCCTATAAGATGGACTTTGGCATCAGAGAAAGAGGACACCAGTTAGGATAGTTTTCTTGTAATTAAATTGTTATCGGATCTTTCATAAACAAGAGATTTCTTAATAGTGCTCCCAAGTAGACTCCCTTTGTGACTGCCCCCATGTATTTTTACAAAATAAAAATCAATATAGCTTGTGCCTCTTGCTCTCTCTGACTAACCCCTGAGATTAAATAACTTGTCCTTCTTTATTGCAAGACAAAAAGAGGTTGATCTGTTACAAACAACAAACAGATGGGGGGCTCTGGAGGTCAAGCCTTCAAAATAACCACATTTTCCCAATAGTTTTCTTAGGATTGGGTGCCAAGCACTCATCCAAAACAACCATTTCAAAGGCTTGAATAATTAGAAACCTGGCTCAGAGAGAGAGAGCTCCCCATCTCCAACTGATGGAAAGGACTGAAGATGCTGGGTTTAACTGAACATAAGGGCAAAGGGAAGAGTAATAATAACAATGATCATGATAATAATGATAGCCCGCATTTATAGAGCATTTTGAGGTTTTTGGAGCACTTTGCAAATATCTCATTTTATCCTCACAATCATCCTGAAAGGTAGGTGAAAACAGAATCAAAGAATTTAAGAGCTGCAGAGTTTCTTGTAGATCACCTACTATAACTAAACTTGGGGACCATATTGAGGCAGTACTGTGATTATGTCTATACTTCTTCAAAGGCAGCAGACTCAATTCCAATCCTCTTTTCTTTCTGTTCAGTGGGATGGTTTGTGAGAATATTCAGCTGACGCTCAGGGCTCCCAAGATATTCTAAACCACATAACTGGGCTCTGCCATTGCTACCTGTAGGACCTAAGGCAAGTCATTCCTTCTCTGGCTTAGTTTCCTCAGCATGGCATAGTTGAAGAAAGGACCCACCAGCCTTGAAGTTAGAAAGACCTTCCTGTGACATAAGCTGCCTTCGTAATCATGGACAAGTCACTTAACCTTTTAGTGACCCAGAAACTGATGATTTAGGGACTGAGTGGCAGATATGCATTGATGTAGGGAGTATGCACACTGGGAATTCCCCACCTGGTGAAATCATAGATCCAGCCTCCCACACCCTCCTCCAAAGACACAGGATGGTCTCTAAAATTCTTTCCAGTTGGAAATCTATGATCTTATAATCCTTTTTATTAACTGTAACACAGAGAAGTCTGGACTCCAGAGTCTGACTATCTGGGATTAAATCCTAGCTCCTTCACTCAGTAGCTGTGTGACCCTGAGAAAATCACTTCATTGCTCTGTGTGCCTATTTTCTCATCTGTAAGATAGGGGCCTTCAGTACCTACACTTCACATGTGGTGAGAAAAAGGAACTATTTGAATAGGATTTCTGGTTATTAGTATAACAAGGTCAATCTTTTCAGCAGAAGACAGATGGCTGATTTTTCTCCTCAGAACAAATGAGGTGTGGAATTGGAATGAGAGAGGTTTACAAAGGTTAGTGGGCTTTTTTTTTCCTTCAGATGGGCTCCCTTTGAAATATATATTTTTTAAAAATCACAATAGAGACATTAAACAAATACGAGACGGTAGCTAAGGAAGCAGGTGCAGATGCTGCCCCTCCCTCCAATCACCCCCTGCTTTACAAGCAAGGCCATTAAGAGCACCCCTTCCCGTGGGACCAGCTGGCCATCCCAGATTCCATCCTTAAGGCTGAAGGCTGCTTCCTGGCTCCCTCTCTCCTCCCCCCTCCCCCGCCTCCTACTCTGCACGGAAGAGCAGAAAGGGCTGGAGCGCTCCGCCAAGGCCAGCCCCGGGTACCTGCCCGCGGTGTCACATCTCTTTGAGAACTGAGCCCAGAAAACATTAGAACGCAGAGCACAGACGAGCAGCCCGCGGCTGTTCTCTGCGCCTTGCACCTCGCAAACAGACAAAACCTGCGCTTCATCTAAACTGGCTTCTCAGACCATGAGAGTCAAGCCTTTCAAGCAAAAATGCCATCTTTATGATTTCTATCTCGTGTCTTCCACAGGGCACAGATGACTCTCAAAACCCCTTCTCCTCCAACCTTCCAAGTTCGTTGGAAACACTTGTACAGAGCTAAGCTGAGCCACGTTCCCTGCACGCCCTTGCGTCCCGGTTGTCCCAGATCCACCCTCAATTTTCTTGCATCAGGACCGTACCTTCCTCTCCCCAGCTCCAATGCAGGACCAGGATCCTGGAGGGCGGACGTCCCGGGGAAGACAAGAGCGCTTGCACAGCAAGGTTCTGGATAGCATGGGGCGGAACGTAACGGAACGGGAGAGGACAGCACAGTATGGGATAGGATAGACGGAAGAAGCTAGGGGGCTGGAGAAGAGGAATTCCCCTCACCTGTTGATGTCGCTCACGAAGCCACTACTTTTCTCGTCCAGGAACCGCTTCCAGCCATCCGCAGTCTTCACCCAGTTCTGTCCCGGGGAACGCCAGTCCTGCCCGAGGAATGGCATCGCGCCAGGGAGCGGCTGCCGGGAGGACCGGACGGACGGGACTAGAAGCGACTAGATTGGATGGGATGCACCTGGACTCGTCCGGCGGCCTGCAGAGCGCGCGGCGCTCGGAGAACCCTCGGGCCGGGGGTACCCGGAAGATGCTGCAGACTGGGACGCTAGGGGACGTGCTGGGTTGTGCTGGCCTGGGGATAGAGGGGGGCGTAGAAAGAAGAGGATGCGGTGTGGGATCTGGGGTCCAGGAAAAGTTGTCTGCCCTTGGCCTGATGGGCTTTCGGAAGACCGGGGACAGCAAGGGGCGAAGAAGGAGGTAGGGAGCTTTGGTGTCCGTTGCTCCTTGCAGGGAGTCTGACTTGGACGCTGGGGCCGCAGTATTTATCTAGGGCCCGCTGGCGGCTGCTCTTTGTTGCCGGAAGAGCTGCCTGCCTTTTAGCCCTGCCTCCCGGCCTGGGAGGACACGTGGCTTTGTTTATGGGCTCGGCTTGTTTTGGTGGCTGCCACTGCTACAGCACCCTTCGCAGTTGCACAACCTCACACCAGTGGAAACTTTAAACCAGGAAGGAAGATTTCTTCTCCTTTCTCCCCCTTTCCACCCCCAGATTCCTTCTCCTCTTCTTCGGCCCTTCAAGGAGCAGCTGCTAAGAGACAGGCAGCTTCGCCTATGGTCACCACGAAACTGGTCTCTGCCTCTCTTCTCCCGGGCCCTGTCCCTCTCTTCCCCTCTCCTCCGATCCTCCTCTCTTCTTTCCTCTCCCTCTCCTCCCTTTCCAACCAAAAGATCAAATTAAAGAAGTTTCCCAAATTGTCCAGACTTTTTTTTTTGAGGGGGTTATTGTTTGAAATCAACAGTTAGGACACAAGGAGCTTCTAGTGATTGGCAAACTCAAGTTCAGCCAACTCTACTCGTGGCCTATATTGAACATGAAGCTGTCCCCACTCTCCGAAGGCTAGGGAGAATTCTTCAATTTGATTAGGAACTAATGTCTTATCCCCCTTTTTTTTTTAAATTTTCCCAATTCTCTCCCTCTCTCTGTCTCTCCCAGTCCCTCCCCCACCCATTGAGAAATCTAGCAATATGATATTCATTAAACATGTTAAGTCATGCAAAACATATTTGTATATTAACATTTTGGAAAAAAGGCTAGAAAATAAAGTGAAAAGCAATATGCTTCAAACTGCACTCAGAGTTCATCAGTTCTGTCTCTGGGGAGGGGATGGCATTTTTTATCCTGAGTCTTTTGGAATAATCTTGGATCAGTGTATTGATCTGAGTAGCTAAGTCTTTCACAGGTGGTCAGCCTTACAAAATTGCTGTTACTATGCACAATGTTCTTCTGGTTCTGCTCACTTCACTCAGCATCATTTCATGGACAGCTTTCCAGGTTTTTGTGAAACCAGCCCCTCATCATTTCTCATAGCACAATAGTATTCCATTGCAATTTTATTCAACCATTCTCCAATTGATGGGCATCTGTCATAACACTCTGTAGTCTTATCAGGTTGATTGGAGAAGCCCTCAATTTAACAGGGGATTATCTTGATCTTCATAATTGTCTTTACACATAGCTTCCCATAGTTGGAAGGGATCTCAGAGGACACCTGATTATTTTATCTCTCTCCTATCTCTTACTCCTCCTATCTCTCCGGTAGACAGGAAACAGTACAGGAAAAATGAAACAAAAGAGGAGGAGGAGGAGAAGGAGGAAGAAGAGAAGGAGAAGTTGGAGCAGGAAGAATCCTGTGCTGCCACTTAGCAGCTATGGGGAAGAGGGCCCTCTTCTCCCTCTCCCTCTCCCTGCAGCAATCAGAACAGGTCTTCAAGGGGTGGGGGAGCTTATGCTCTTTGCTAATTTGTGAAACTATGTCTCTTGAGGAAGCAACGCAGTCAGAGACTTGTTATTTACTTCAGGCCTAGGGAACCCCCTCCTTTTCAGGGCACTTTTGGGTGCCACTCTAATTTCTAATTTTTTTTCTTTCTGTAACTGGGACAGGATTTTTATTTCCTCTACCACAGAAGCTGCTTAACCCAACACTCCAAGGATTCAGAACCCTCAAGAACAAATACAGAAAACATACACTACTCAAATCGTGCCCCACACTCATTATACTCCTCCAGAGGTAAACACAATTTTGTGCCACTGCTGAACAGACCTTCTCATTTACTTTCAGACTGCCTTGTTAGAGCATCTCACAAAGTCTAGCTCTCCTAGCCAGCTATGGCATGGCTTTCTTTTTTTTTTTTTGAGGGGGGGAGAGGAGTTGGCTTCCAGTTAGCTTCAAGGTGATCCTGGTGGTGGTCTCCTCTCAAAAGCAGGCTGACAAAGGAACTTTCTTCTAGGCAACTGTTGCTACCTCTACTCATGAGGTAACTGCCCATTTCTCTGGATCGCTAGTTGTAATCTGTGCTCCTAAAAGGAAACATCAAGGCAGAAGGCAGCTGGGGAACTTGAGGTTAATTCAATTCAATAAGCATTTATTAAGATGATACTATTTTTAAGATGCATCTGGGAGTAGAAAACCATGGGTCCAAGTCCTCATCAGAGCCTTCACTAGCATGGGATAACAGGCAATTTGTTCCCAGGCTCTGTTATTGGAAGGGCAATTTACTTACTCCTTCAGAGCTCAGATTTCCTTTCTGCACCTTCTACAGTACAGTCACCCAGGAAGATAGAGTACTCCTCCTAGTACAACTGCATAGGTAGTTGGAGTGGTTGCTGCCACACTCACCTCCATGGCCTTGCCCCAGAGGAAATTCTTTGAAGCTATGAGCCTGTTCATGGTCACCTGGGTGACCAGGCACTTAGCTTTTCAGTGGCCCTTAGAATAGTATATTTAGAATGGGAAGGGGCTTTAGAGGTCATCTAGATAACACTCTCATTCTACACACAAGGAAACTGTGATGGAGGCAAGATCTGATTCTTTGACTCCAAAACCAATATCCTTCACACTTTGTAACTCTTTAAGAATATAAGTTCCAGTCAAGTTGCTGATCTGCACTGATAAAGGGAGTTTCTATACCAGGTGTTTCCCATGCCAACAAAATAATAAGTATGGACAAAAACAAAGAAAGAATGTCCTTGGCATTGTGCTAGGTGTTAGGGATTCAAAGACAGAAGTGAAAAACAGCCCCACCATCCTGGAGCTTGTATCCCATTAGGCATACAACCAAGTAAACAGATAAGTAAATACACGACAATTTGAAAAGAAAGAAAGCCCTCTTAACCAGCGGGATCAGGAAAGGCTTCCTGTAGGAGGTAGAGCCTGAGCTGAGACTTGAAGGAAGCTATGGACTCCAAAATTCAAAGGTTGTGAATGGTGTACATTCCAGGCATAGGGGAGAGAGCCTGGGCAAAGACACATGATAGAAAAGAGGAAACTCCAATTTCGGGGCCAGTTTCTCTGCAGCAGACAGTATGTAAAAGGGAGTCTAGAAAGGCCGGCTGAAGCCAGTTCATAAGAACTTTCAATGCCAAAGTGAAGAGTCTGCATTTTAATCAAGAGGCAAAAGAGAACCCCTACAGATTCTGGAGCAGGGGAGGGATGTGGCTAGACCGATGCTTGTCCAACCTATACCGAAACAAGAATTTCCTCTGTGTCCCTGCTGTCAAATTCAAATGGAAACAGATGCCTGTAGGCCACCTACTGATTGAGAAAACCGCAAAGCAAAATCATCTATGTTGGATTGTATGTTTATTTCTTTTTTTCAAACATTTCCCAATTCTCTTTTAATCTGGGTCTTGCAGCAGTAGGGGTTTTGTTGACTCCTTGAGGCCACAGGTATTGAATGTGACACCCCTGTTCCTCGTCATAACTAAAAAAACTTTACATGAAGTCCTCCAATGGAGGGATGACCCACTACCTCGAAGAGGTAGCCCAATCTATTTTGGGGTAGCTCTAACCATTAGGGAGTTCTTCCTTGCATAAAGATTAGATTTTCCTTTTTTCCTTTTCCACACATTGCTTTTTATTCTAGGCCTTTGAATAAAATTAGAACATGTCTAATCCCTCTTGCACATGACAGCCTTTCGAGAAGGAAGACAGGGGTCATGTGTGTCTCTTGCACCTTCCCCGTGGCATTTCTCTAGGCTAAATATGCCTAATTTTTTCAAGTGGTCTTCCTATGGCTTGAATTTTGATACCGTCACTCTCCTGCTTTCCCTTCTCTTGAAGCTTTCAGTCTCCCTAAACTCTGATGAGCAAGACTGAACCCAGTCCTCCAGAATGTGTCCTGAGTGGGGCGAGGTACAGTTGCACCCTCACCTCCTCATTCCAGGAAGCTATGATTCTCTTAATGCAGCCTTTTGGATGAAGACCGTTTTCAAATAGCCACAGTTTTCTGACTCAGCTTTCCCACCATAAATAATATAATTGTGTATGGTGAGTAAAAATAGCTCTTGAAAGCAATTTGCACAGATAAAAAAGTCTAAATGCTGTAGACGAGATAACAAATGAGACCCTGCTAGGTTAGTTTTTGTGGGAGATAACAATATTTATCTTTGAGGAAGTGTAACTGGGAGCTGCCTTTATTAGAGAACAAGGTTAAGTTCCTGTTCATGTTTCCTATACCTCACCTTTAAGGCAGCCTAGTACAGTGGAAAGAGTGTGGGATTCAGAGTAAAATGAAGGGGTTGGGCTAGCTAGCCTCTCAGATAGGTCCTTTCCAGCTTTAAACCTGTGACTTCTTCCTTAAACTACTTTTTTTCTTTATCATTTACCCTCAACTATTCAAATCTGACTTATCTTTAAAAACTTTTGTTTCTTAGGTTTTTATAGGGTAGCCTCAGGTGGCACAGTGAATAGAGCTCTGGGCTTACAGTCAGGAAGACCTGACTTCAAATATGACCTCAGATATACTTACTAGACATGTGACCCTGGGAAAGTCACTTACTCTGCCTCAGTTTCCCCAACTGTAAAATGGGGGTCATAATTGCACCTACTTCCCAGGGTTGTTGTGAATTAAATGAGGTAATATTGGCATATAACAGAGGCTTAAGAAATGGTTGTTCCTTCTCCC